ATTGCAAGTGATTACAACTTTCTTTTTCATCTCAGTCAATCCAGAGAAACAGATTATACTCTCTAATTTCCATTTGCAGTGCATCTTCACCAAGACTTTTCTTCAGGTAATATCCTTGCTTAGAACACTTAAGTGTTTAACCAGTAAATCAGCATCAGTGTTTGAGTCTCGTTAAGAAATTCCAATGCCATTCTTGTCTCTTAGGAGCTTATCTTAAAGGCATATCTTGAAGGATATGTTTACTAGGCTTTAAATGGTCTCTGTTTTTATACTGATACTGTATTTTGCTAATATACTCTTCATACCAGGTACAAAGAACTTTCACTTACCACTCCAATGATGAAAGGAAAGGAGATATTTTTTCCTAATACAGGAATATATTTCTAGATTTTTATTGATAGAAAAGTTTCTTGGTTTTACTTCAAATGCTGAAGATGGCACTCTAATAATGAATGGTTTTTAGTTCTCATGCTAAGGATGAAGAAAGCTAAACATGAAATTGTTAGAAATGGTTAGAAAAGTTGGCACATTCAGTTAGTACATATATAAATAGCAGAGGGTTGAGAGTTTGTTGGCAATGAAGAATAGTCTAATAATGTTTTGTTTTCCATTATGCATACCAGAAATACTGCAGATCTTTCAATTACCTTACTTAGGAAAGGTGCAAATAGGTTCTTCCTAGTAAGAGGTATTTTCTTACACTTCATATCATCCTCCTTTTATAATAATCCTGAGGCTTCTAGATGCATTTTACCACTTCTATTTGTGTCTCCAGCTTCATGGTCTACTTTTATGGAATTGACTTGAGCTGGGAGTTTTAATTTCTAAAATCTGTTGTTAAAAATGGATTTATTACACAGTGTAGTCAGCTTTGCGACATGTCCAACTTGTCTCCTTCCTGCCCATTCTAAGGAAAAGTGTCCTCATTTGTTCTGCGTGGCCATTTGGTTTCATGGTTTGTATTCAAATGAAGAGATGAGGACCATGACTGACTGGTCTTTCACAAGCATTTGTCCAACTTTGCTAGTCATTTTTTCCTGAATTGTGTTTGTGTCTGTTAAGCAAACGTACCTCAGCAAGGCTGTGTTCATTTTTACACTTCCCAAACTCTGCATTGGAACTAGGGGACACATTTTCAGTCTTTCTTCATACGTGTTTTGCAGTTTGCATGATGCTCCCACAAGCTTCGTGTCTTCCACAGGCAGGGTCAGTGCAGAGTCTAGTCCAAGCCCTGAAGAAATTAAGAAATTGCTGCATTCATACAGATGGTAGGAATAGTTCTATATTGAGCCTCTCTGACCACATCTGTGCCTACCAAAAGCACAGCTATCAATAGCTTAGTTAGCATTTGTAATAGATAATTCAGTAAAATACAGGCAAAGATGACTGTCATTGTGATAACAAAACACGTCAGTCAGGACCAAACACTGCAAATCATACAGTGAGTGCAATTATTGAAATGAAGACTTTGAAAAGTTATGACTAATCAAAGTGCCTTCTTGAGAAACCTTTAAGGAACTTAATTTTCAGAAAGTGGAACATCCTTGGCCTTGAAATACTGCCTGACAAAATGTTTCATTTGGAACACAGAAATACCTAGGCATTATCTCAAAATCAGTACTCATACTCCTCTTGCATAAATTCATGAATTTTAAGTTCTCTCTGATTCCATCAGATGAAAACTACCTGCATCTATTTATCCATGTAGTCAGGAAACTGAAAATAGAAGGTAATTTACTTCGCAGAAGTTGTCAGTGTCTATACCATGTTTCTAATGGAAATACATGGCTTTGTTTAAAAATCTACACCTACTCCAGAAATTATTAGTAACACAACCTGACACTGACTACTTACATTTAATTTCACCAGAGTCCCATGATTCAATGTCTTGCTTCAGTATTTTTTTAGAAAGCAGTATGTGAGAAGTGCTCCATATCATATCTACGGGATGAGAACAGAAACACCACTTCAACCTATGTTTGGACTCTGCTTTTGTTTCTGAGGGTGGGTTTTGTTTAGACTTTTGTCCATTTTCTTTGATATATACATGACTAGAAACTTACACTTGAGATACACAAGGTCCCTTAGGAATTTTTGAAGAACTGCTGGTGTGGGCATGTTTTTCACTCTGTGGTAATGAACATGATCAGAAGATCCACCCTACAACTTAAAAAGCTGGGCAAATCTTTCTCAGCAGGAGCAGACTTGTTCTCAGAGCTACACACAAGCCATTTTGAAGTTGTTCTTTTGGTAAGATACTCATCCGTCATAACTTTTTTTGACCAGGGTGATATGATTTAGCGTGAGGTGTCCCTGCCCATGGCGGGGGGGGTGGAACTAGATGATCTTAAAGTCCTTTCCAACCCTAACTATTCTATGATTCTATGATAATCAGGTGTCCATTCCAAGGCTAGTAAGGTCAATGTTAGGACTCAGTGGTACATTTGATTAAAATAGGTTCTATTTTGTAGCATTGGAGCAGCGATAAAACACCTCAGTAACTGTCTTGTATACACAGCTGTGATTTCCCCCAGTCAGTTGGAAGAGGTCTTTTTTGGCTAACAGGTAATGGAGGCTCACCAGTACCATCCCAGTGTTCGTAAAGCAGGTCTGGAGTCCTAAAGCAGTCTGGAAGCCCCGCTAGGAGCTTCCCAGTACCTGTAGGATAGTCATGCTTTGGCTCTGCATCAGGTCAGCTTGAGAGCATACAGCACAAAACCCCAGGGGCTTCTGGGCTCCTCCACAATGTGCTCGTTGCAAGAGCAAGGTCCTCACTTGCATATGAGCTCAGGCATGTCCCATGTTGGTGTTGCAACAACAAGCAGAGCATACTCATCCATATATAGTGGCAGCTGAAGTGAAAGGTTATGGTGCAAGGCATGATGTCTTGCCTCAGTTCTCTTGCTAACAGGCCAGCAAGAAAAATAAAGCTCTTGTGATTTATGCTTACAGAGTAATCTCCACAATAATGTGAAATATGATAGTGCAAATGGGTAAGAGCAATGATAGCTGTTACCATTTTTGACAGGCAATGGTTTTGGAGCTTAGTGATGAATTGCATTCTGTCTGGGGTTTGTTCAGCCCACTTATCTTCAAGATGTCATTTTGGGTTTTTGTTTTGTGTTTTTTGTTTTGTTTTGGGTTGTTTTGGCTTTTTTTCTTTAAAAGAATAATATCTTTCAAGTTTTCTGGTTTGATGTTGGAGACTTACAGTTTGTTTGGTAAAGAATTTTGCTTTCTTGTGATCTTTTCTTGGAAAATGGCTCTGCATAGATTCCTGAGAAGAAGTTTTGAATGTTTATACTGCTTTGATAAGGTAGGATAATGTTGTCTCTTTTATCTTTAATTTTGTTTTAATTGGACCTGCAACAACATCCCTAATTATATGAGGAATTTTAGTTTTGACACTTTTCAAGCTCAAATATCACTAAAACACATAAATATGTCTGAATTTCAGACTTGGAATAACATTTAGTGAAGGGTAAACCATATTTTATGTCAAATAACACCAGACCCTGAGATATTAAAGACATGGAATTATACCCCAATCCCTTGACCTATCTGTATAAGATTGATGGTAAAGTGTTTTCCAGAAAGATGGAAATTCAATAGAAGTGGTAAAGGTGAGTTTTACAAAGACCCATGTGGTCATAAGACCTTTGCTTATTCTCCTTCAGCAACAAATAATGCCAAGCCTCACTCTAGGTCTCTTTTGCAATGAGTCAAGGTTAAATTCATATGGGGTAAAGCAAAAACCAGTGTATACCTGGAAAAGCCCCTTTTGGCAGGAGGGCTCTGCTTATCCAATTGCTCAGATGAGCTCAAGGAGGAAAAGCAACAACTTATTTTAACAACTAAGATCCTGTGACATGGCTGAATGTGAAAAGCGAAGCCTGGCAGAAAACAGTGTGATTTTGATTACGTTTACATAATCCTCTTTGCATCCTAAGTTTTGCAAATGCTTTTCTAGAGCTAAACTGCTTCCAGTAGAACAACCCTGCTTCTTTCTCCTTCCTTGGTCCCACCAGAGCATGAGAATCAGCACAACGGGTTTTTGCTGGGCTTAAGTTTTGCTCTGTTGTAAACCAGCAATGCTGCTTCTTAGCTACTCATTTCCATGGGAACTAGAGCCAAGCTTTAAGTCCTTACAGTTTCCTTCTCTTTTAATTTCACTGGCATTGAGTTCTGACCAGTTAATCAAATGTCTTTTGCGTTGCAGGTGCCTTAATATTTATTTTGATTAGTGCACCAGTCGCTATTTTTAGCAACTTGGTCCCTGGGTTGAATGAATACCAGCACAGACCTTAAACCATAATAAACCTGTGTTTTTAACCTTGCCATTTATTTTTATGTCTCTGTTTCCAAATAATCAGGATGTGGTTACCTGTGAAGGCAGTAGACTACTACTTCAAATTTCAATGCACACCCACATACAAAAATATACATTGTAGAGGGTTACAGCTTTAAAAACACCCAGACAGACTCTTGTCTGACTTTAATGCTGTTGCCACTGAACTGAGAGACAGTGGTACCACCTGGCTTATTGCTTTGATTTTGTCCTTTGATTCCAGTGAGCTAAGTCTGCTTCATCCCTACAGAATAACCAGCAGCTTTCTTCCTCACTACTGATCCCTCATGGACAATATATATATAAAAAATATTGTATGTATAATATATAACGAGGTAACCAAATAACAGAATACAGAAGCACATGTAAAACATATTGGAAAAAGCCAAGTGTTTTTCTAAGAAGCAACACTACAAATATTGTATCCTTACATTATAAAACTGGACTCCAACACTTTTGTGGCTTTTCTCCTTTGTAGTGTGGGGAAAAATTACAAAGTCAAATGTTTTTTACCATGTATTTCTGCCTGATGGGAAATTTTCTATGCAGAGGATGAAATGACTGTCATACATCATGGAAATGTACATACATCCTTTCTGTTTCTGTTTTTGCCAAGTGAAGAATCAGCAAACAATGGCAGAATCAGGCTTGAATTACACTCTGGACCTGGAGACAGAGTAATCAGCAAATTAGTAGATACCTTTGGCACTAGAGGCCCCAGCCTAGTTCTTATTAACATCAGCTGAAATATTCCCACCTGGAATATTTCTTTTTCAGGTGTGGGAGCTGCATAATTTTTTTCCAGGATCCCAGGAAGATCATGGAAGTTGTGGCTTCTGGTAACTCATGTGAGGACTGGTGAAATGCAGCCTTGCTTTCAAAATGCTGCTGGAGAGGTGTGTGATTTCTGTAACAGGTTTAAGCAGCTATCCAGCATCGAGGAGGTCATTGTCAACCTGGGTGACTATGAGCTAAAGTCTCCCTGCTTACAAGTGAGTGTCTAGTTCATCTAATTTTAACAGAAGTTTGAGGTCATTACTGCTGCCACTTCAAGGACTGGGCCATGCACAGAAACGAATTGAAAGATTTGTAGGGCTGTAAAGAATGAAAGAGGAGGGAGCTCACTTTGCAACCAAAGGTGAAGAGCACTCAGCTGACACTATTTGGTTGCTGGGTTTTATACAGTGACTCTGTAAGAAAAAACATATTAACAGCTGTGGAACAGAATCTCCCTTTGCTTTCAGTTCTTTAATACCTTTGGAGCAAGGTTCCAAGGGAACACAGCTGTGAAGTTGTTAACAGATTGTTCTCCTTCGCAGATGCTGCAGTTCCAGCTTGTTGTGGTGCACTTGGCCCTTGTGATTACCCTGCTGCAGTGGCATTCTATCTCAGTGCTCCTTGTGGGGGCAGCTTCAGAGGTAGGTGAATGTTTCTGGTGGTAGTCACATAACACTGCTCTTCCTTTCGTTGTTCTTTGCCACAGAGTGTAGAAGACAACACAGTACCCTAACAGTGCTGGAAGGTAAACAACCAGTATTGAGTCCACAAGGGCAAAGGAGGAGCATAGTGAAGAGAGTGATTCAAATTGTATAGCTCTCGGAGGACGGAATGATTCATGCAATCTCTCCTGAAATGCCATGGGATTTTCTGTGTGTTAAAACACAGTCCAGTGACTTTGGGTAGAAAACTCCCTAAAGAAGGGAATGAGGTGATGGCAAGGGGGGAGGAAAGCAAACTCTTCTAACACTGAAGGAAAGGTTTTATTCTTCTTAAAGAGAAATACTAGCATGAGAAGTCTGCAGCTTTCAGAAGTCATAAGGAGATCCCTGACAGAAGATAAAAGTTACAAATTAAAGAAGACTGAACAGACCAGGAGAGAAAAGGTGCAAAATCACTTGCCTAAGCTTGTGAAGGAAAGCAGCAGATGAAACCAGAGAATTGTCTGATGTTTCATGCAGGATATGCAGGGATTGCACCTGAAAACACTTCTATTGCATTCTCTTTTTTATTAATGTCATGCTGACACTGAACACATTTGCCAGGAAAGATACTTATGCAGTGGTTTCATGTCATAAGAAAAATCAAGGATCTGAAAGTTTAATCAAAGTAGCACTATGTAGCTGTAAGGTCTTTACATAGGTTTTTAAGATCAGCTTAGAAGTTAGATGCTTATAGGGGAATACTAATGGATCCTTCTACCTTACTCTGTCTTCAAATGAGGATGCCCTGGTTATACAAAATAACGTTTGTTATAGAAAATAGGGCTTGAGGGAACACTCCACACACCAGTGCTGCAGCAACTGCTGTTCTGGTGCTACAAAGATCTGGCAGTCTGTCTTTAACAATTAAATTTTTTTATTGTGATATATTAATTTGTGAAAAAAAAAATTAAGAACAGAACACCTCCATAGACTTACACTGGACCAGTTCACTTTTTAGCTGCTGACAATCCATGTCGTCTTTTGGCAATGCATTCCACTGCATTCTATGTGTTGTGTTTAATAAGTTGCTCCTTGTATTTGTTTTAAATCCAACATCTGGTGACTTCACTGGGTGGATTGAGAAGCTCTTTTTTCTGGAGGAAAAAAAAAGCTAGTATTTATTCACCTTTTTGCTTTTCATAAGTTTATAAACCTTCCACTCTACCCACCGTAACCCATAATTATCTCTGCTTATCTGTGAAGTTGAAATTTGTTCAGTGGTTCACCACGGGAAAACTATTTTATACTTCTCATTATCATTTTAGCTGTCTCTTCCTACAATTCCATTATATCCTTTTTGAAGACAAAGTAAGTGGGACTGCATGAAGTATTCAGGAGCAGAGGCTATTTTGACCTTCTAGTTTCAAGCATTATTGTAGCTATTTATCCCCACTAACCAGAGGGGAGAGTTCATTCTTTTTTTTAAAGGCACAATTTTTTTGCAAACCTCTATGAAAGTTTTATAACCCTGAAAGGGAACAGAAAGGATTGCTCAGTGCACTTGAAGCTCATAAAAATTAAAGTCAGAGGACAGTATGAGATCCTTCACAAAAGTATTAACAGCGCTACATCATTTGTGTGATCATTGAGGTTATGTCTTCCTCCTTATATAAAGATCACTGTTTTATATACTCCATCACTGGGTATGCCACCCATAAGTAGTGGGAAACATCACCACCACAAGTATGGTGTAGATCACAGACCAAGCACATTAAATCATCCATGTGACGGCTTGCTTTACATTTGTACTAAAATCACTGTCTACGGATGAGAAGATAGAGGAAAACATGCTTCAAGTCACATAACAAAAGTTATATTTAGAAATTTCCATCTAATTCTGTGAAGATCAGGTGGAGCAAGAAGGCGAACAATTCATCTGAAGAAAGAATGATTTGGCTTAACATCTCCTTTTGTAGGTTAGTTGTTGCCCTATTTTTCTGTTATTTGGAAAACAACTATTTCACTTTGATTTGTATCATTTCCCTCTTGACAGACCCCGATGTTCTCAGCTATTCTGGATAGTAAAGTTTGGTTTTCAAAAGATGTTATGCCTAATGTCATAACTAAGGTTCAAAACACTGTGTCAGTTGAACATACTGTTCTTTCCTTTCTTCCTCCCTGCATAGCGTTATTGCATAAATTCTTTGAATGTCAGTGCTGAATGTCAGTGCTGAGCAAGTTTATCATGGGATATTTTTGAGTAACAATGAATTAATTAGTCAGCTTTGGATGGAAAATTCTGTAGAAGTTTTTATTATTATTTATTAGCATTCATTTTAAAAATGAAAACCAGTTTCCTGAAAAATATCAGGATGAATATTGGAGTCTGGTAATTGTGATTGCATTTTTAAAAAGGATTAAATTACTTGGCTCATGCTGTAAGTGATGCTAATCACACTGCTGAGATAGGGATAGTGAGCTGACCTGCAAAAACAGGCTTTGTGAAGTAGTAAATTTTGATAATTCTTGCAATAATAATGAAGGCAAGTTTAATAATTTCAATTCTGTCAAAAAAAAAAAATCTCAAACTTTTATAGCAAACTTCTGTGGGTGAAAAATGGCCATGGTTCACAGAAGGATCTTTGTTTTAAAACATCATCCCACGTTCAGTGTTCTAGTGATTATGTATTTATAGGACGGCTGCTGTGATGCTGGTTGAAAATTTTTCTGCAACTTGAGCAGCAAGCAAACATCCCTGCTTTCTTTTGCAGCCTTTGGAACCTTCTGTTGCTCTGGACATGAGAGCACATCCCGTTGCCAGTGGACAGAAGTCAGCCACCAACCTGGCAGCCAAACTATTCCTTCTTGATGAGCTGGTGTCTCTGGAGAATGAGGTGACTGAGACCAAGAAGAAAAGAAGTTTCCCAGGATTTGGGTCCCCGATTGACAGAATTTCTTCAACCTCTGTGGATGTTAAAGGCAAGCAGAGGTAAATTCTTAGATGCTCCTACCAGTGATAAAGTTGGAAGAAGGCTTTTGGTAAATGTCTGAGGTACAGATGGGTTAGCTTTAACCAGCAGCAGATTTAATGGCTAGTTGTGAGGTGCCTCTGATCAGGATGCCAGAATTTCTTCGGAAACCATTCTGGTTGCATGGTGTGTACTCCTTCAGCTGTGATGAATACTACATACATGCACTAATTCATTTATCCTTACAGTGCCATAAAACTAACAAAGAACATTCTAGCTTATGTGGGGTTTTTAGTACACTGCTTTCCACTGATGTGAACTAACATTCAGTTTAATACTGCCTTTTTGATCATAAGATTATTTAAAGCAAAAAATATGCCTGAGGTTTAAAAGCAGAGGGAAGAGCTCGGTATTCCCAAGGCTGAGTTTAAAAGGTATGGTGATGTGCATGTCTTGAATATCAAGATGGAAAGGTTTTGTGAAAATGCCAGATGGCAGAATGAGCTTCAAGATCGCAATCAATTTATGATAAGCTAGGGCTTAATCAATACAGCAGTAAAGCCACAACTTCACAGTACACATTTGAAGATAAGCATGTCTACAGCAGGGCTAAGCAATGATGCTTTATACTGGTGGGGACAGCCCGTGAGTTTGGAGAAAAGCTCCAAAAGGGCTGTTTGCTATATCTGAAAGAGCTTAACTGTCTTGTTCCCTTCTTTCTGCTGTCTTCTTTTGGATAGAATCCCCAGTGCCACAAAGTATTTAATAACATGCTTAAAGCTTAATCTGGAATTGGAAAGTATTCACAAGAGCCAGTCAATACTACAAGTATTATTTTTTTTTTCAGTTTTGCAATATTTTTTTGCTGTTTTTCCATTTATCCACCCAGTCAGCTACTAGGACTTTTTGACTGCAGCTAAAAGGGATAAAATATGAAATTCTTAAAACCCTGAGTAGAACATTCTGTTCTGTATATTTCTTCAAGAGATCAAAATTGTCTCATTCTTTGTTTGCTTTTTAGCATGTTTTCCCTTTCCAGGGAAATACAAGATCATTTTTGAAGCTGCAGTTCCTTTCTTATGAAAAGTACATGGTATTCCCCATTTATCTCATGCTTTATGGGTGGAAATCGTTTGGTGAAATTTGACCAAGTTTTCTAACAGCTTGCCTCTGAAATGGTCATCATCGACCACTAATGATCATTTGCTGAGGTGAGTAGCTCCAGAGAGGATGCCTTCAACAGTGGAGAGAGGGGATACACAGTGTCCAGGGTAACAGGAAGGGCTTCTATAGCTATGTTGCAAACAGAAGGCAGGCTAGGGATAATGTGAGCTCTCTCTGGAAGATATTGGGAGAACTGGCTATGGATTTGGAGAAGTCTGAGGTTCTCAATGACTTTTCTGCTTCAGTCTTCACCAGCAGCTGCTCTGACCACACTACCCAAGTCTTGGAAGGCAGATGCAGTGACTGTTAGAATGAACACCCTAGGCCCACTGTAGGAGAGGATCAGGTTTGAGATCATCTTAAGAACCTGAATGAGCACAAGTCCACAAGACCTGATGAAATCCATTCACAGGTCCTGAAGGAGCTGGTGAATGAAGTTGCTAACCTACTGTCCATCATATTTGAGAAATCATGGCAGTCAGGTCAAGTTCCCGATGACCAGAAAAAGGGAAATAAAACCCCCATTTTCAAGAAGGGGGAAAATGGATGACCCAGGGAACTACAGACCAGTCAGTCTCACCTCTGTGCCTGGCAAAATCTTGGAGCTGATTCTCCTGGATGGCATGCTAAGGCACATGAAAATCAACAAGGTGCTTGGTGACAGCCAGCATGGCTTCACTAAGGGGAAATCCTGCCTGACCAATTTGGTGGCCTTCTATGATGGGGCTACAGAACTGATGGACAGGGGTAGAGCATTTGATGTCTTCTACCTGGACTTGTGTAAAGCGTTCGACACTGTCCCGCATGACATCCTTGTCCCTAAATTGGAGTGACATCAATTTGACAGATGGAACGCTCAACGGATAAAGAGTTGTCTGGATGCCCACACACAAAGAGTTGTGGTCAATGGCTCAATGTCCAGCTGGAGACCAGTAATGAGTGGTGTCCCTCAGGGGATCGGTGTTGGGACCGGTCTTGTTCAACATCTTTGTCGCTGACATGGACAGTGGGATTGAGTGCGCCCTCAGCAAGTTTGCTGATGACACCAAGCTGTGTGGTTCGGTTGATATGCTGCAGGGAAGAAATGCCATCCAGAGGGACCTTGACACGCTTGTGAGGTGGGCTGATGCCAACCTCATGAAGTTCAACAAGGCCAAGTATAAGGTCCAAAGCCTTGGGCAATACAGTGTTGTAAAAGGTGTCCCTGCCCATGACAGGGGGGTTGGAACTAGGTAATCTTAAGGTTCTTTCCAGCCTTAACTATTCTAGGAATAATGAGCTCATCCAATGAGTGATACAAAACACAAAATTCCTCCTTTCCCAGCCTTATCAGCACAGTTTACAGTTTTGTGTTGAGATTATCACCTCTGGGGAGTTGATCAGTTCTTAAGTTTGGGATTGCCTCATTTATTAAAACTAGTTGAGTTGCCTTGATCACTGCGTCGATAGTCAGACACTACCAGAAGCATGGACCGCAGATCAGATCAGTGCTAGCTATGAAACCATAGTAAGACTGAATCTTTAGGTGGAAACAGGCAGAGGCTTCTGAACTCAGAGGCGTAAAACAGGACTGAGCACCCCACTGCTGTTGTGTACACAGTAGATAACAGCCCATTCCTGCACCAGTTAGGATAGTTACGTTTACAGACCAGATAATGACTTTTGAAGTGTGAAAACTGTTAAACAGGTTCAGCCCCCTGAATTAATACAGCGTGTGTAGTACTGCCTGGCAACACAGCAGAAACTTTTGGAAAAGAGTAGATCAAATGTAAGTCCACTTAACAGCTTGTTGTGGCACCCACCAGTTACAACGGGGCCTAGATCCTATCTTGCTTATCAAGGTCAAGTCCTAAAGCTTTGAAAGCATGGGAAAAGCATGCAAGAAGACATGAGTCTTCAGAAGAAGCAGAAAGATCCACAGACAGACAGAGAGACCGAGACTCAGGAATCTTAGAAAAGGCTGCTTTTGAATATAAAACATCACTTTCTCCCTAGTAAGTGCTGAAATAAATATGGTCTGGTTTGCAAGACAGGGAGAGTGCGTTGACTGTCCTGTTGTGGCTCAGGATGGCCACGAGAGGGGAAGCTTCACTGCCTGCCTGCCTGCCTGCCTGCTCAAGCCTTCACAGCCTTTCCCATGGGCATGACTTTACAATTTCCTTCTCTGTTTAACTACAGAGCATGATGGTGTTAGAGCTAATGCTGCAGAACCTTAGCTCCCCCACCCCACAGTCCAGTCTGGGAAATTAATTCCCCTTTTATCAAGTGAGACTCAGTATGAACCCAGCAGCCCAAATTTCCCTCCTGCCCCCCATCAGCTTGTGCCTACAGGTTTGGAAAAGAGTGCTGCCCTTGAGGAAACAGACGAAAGATCAGCTCTTGGCTTTCTTTCTCTGCTTTTTCTGTGTCATAATGCAACAGTGCAGCTACCTGAGGAAGGGACAAAGAGGGCTATACAAATGGCTCACCTTCATTTGGGATGTTTTGTAGCAACTCCAGTGTGACCGATAAGGTGCTCCTTACATACATGATACACTGTCAGTTCCTGTTTCTTTACCTCATCTGAAAAAGAGGCACTGTGAAATTGGCTGCTGATGCTCTGGGCTTCAGCTCATGCCTGAGAGGTATGAGGAAAGGAGGCTGCTCAGTTGAGACTATGGACTAGACAGATACTTCTTGGTGTGGTTTGCAGAGCCCCCAAAGCCACCAGCTGAGTGAACATGGCCATGCTAGCCCAAAGGGTTAGACTCAAGCACACCATAGCATGCTTTCCTGATAGTTACTTTGCATTTGCCAACTTACAGTACAAAATTTTGTCTTATTTATGTTCCTTGACAAGGACAGAGAAAAGAGTTCATTTTCCAGGGCTTCTCTTGTATCTGCATTTCACTGACAAATATTTCCAAGAGCAGAAGTTATTCTGAGCTGCAGAAACTCTCAACATCTCCACAATTAAATAAAACTTTTGCTGGTGGAAAAAATACTCAAAAATGTTGAATTAAGATGGGAACACTTCTTTTATATATATTTTTTTAAATAATAATAAAATATTCCTACATAGAAATTTCATCATTTTCTCATGCCATTATTTGTGAAATTATCAGGAAATGTAACATATGGAGGAAAAACCAAAACCAACCCCCTCCTGTTTTCAATCTCTTCAGAAGGTTGTTACTATACAATTTTGAGAACAGTGCATTGCAGGAGATCCCATAGGAAAATCCTGATAGAGTTCATCTGTTACTGTGAAATATTTTCTACCTCCTTGCTTATCTTAGTCCTAGTTGGCCCTGGAGATATCAAAGATCCTGGCTAATGGGCCACCTGAAGTGTATGATGCTATGCATGAAACAATTCCACTTTATACATGCAATGTATCTCCTTTCTTTTATGAATGGCAGTTAACCTGTGAAATAATCTGTTTGCTGACAAATAAAAACAGGGATAGTGGGTCAACATTAGCCAGTCTGTTAAACAGGTACAACTCCTGCCTATTCTTTTGTAAGACAAGTAAAGCATCTTATTTTTAAACACTCACATCTTTGGCTGCTTCTACACAGCTGTTCTTTCTGAACAATAAGTTGTTAGTGGGATGAATGAAGGAATCCAAGTTGTAGTAGCATTTTTACTACCCCTATGATGTCCTTCCCCAGATTTTTCCCCTTTCCTTGCTTGTCTTCCCTCTGCAGGAAAGTGGTTGAGCTGCCTAAGAGACGTTTTGGAGTTCCTCTTGACCGGATTGGAGTGAGCCATCTTAGCAGCACCAAGGGTTAGCAGTTCCTGCAAGTAAGCCAAAGTACTCTGGGTGTGGGCATGCTTGGAGAACCCCACCTACTCTCAGTTACACAGAGGTACTCAAGTCATGCCAGTAGGCTTGGAAAGAGTGGCTTGGGGAATGATGGCTTCTTACAGCGTGGATTGTGACTGTCAATTTAGCTTGAATGCTCTAAATTACAACTTAGTACCCCCCCTACAAAAAACAAGTATTCATGACATTTTCATTTCCTGTGGACCACCTTACAGCGTGCTTGTTCAAGCCTTGCATTTCTGACATGGGAAAACGTAATGCTTACTGCTTTTCTGCCTACAGGTGCTTCTGTTCTGAATGACTGACGCTGTATTGGAAACATTACAGGAATTCAGAAGATGCATCACAACTTACCTTGTCATTGACTAATGATACAGTACTCAAGGAATTGACCTCCTGCAAAATTTTTTCACACTGCATTTTACAAATGTTACATTTACAAATAATAGCATTCAATTCATCAAGTCATAATGCTCTCACAGTTGTGCACAGTGTTACTGATAGGAGGGGACAGAAAGTATGTATATAATTTAATTGCATGGCATTTATTTCTTAAACCAGCAGAACTTCATTATCTTAGCAAGGACTGTTAGATTTTTTTAGATTGAAAATAAAGCCTCCAGAGATGCCAAAAGCAGTCCGTGGAAAGCAGACAGTTTGCTTTGCACATTTCTGTCAAGAGGGTGTTTGTTTCGTAGAGGAACGGAGGATTTAACAGTTATGGGACAAACCTAGAATTTATTTCAGCTGCTGTTCAGGAAATGTCTACTGACATCACTAGGAGTTAGTCTGAATAAGAATGGTGACAATACCTTAATATTTGTCCTGATGGTTTTAGTAGTGTTTCTCATATCTCTGCACCATATTCAGACATATTTTCATTGTATGGCAGATCCTGAAATGTGGTGAGACTTCTGGATTCCTCTTCTAAGCTGATGAATATATTTCACTTCTCCCTATGCATAACATAGGATAGCATCCAAATATGAAGTCATCTACTTCCTAGGCCATCTGCACCATATGCCTTATTTTAGTCTCTTCATGTGTGCACAGGACATAATCCGAAATCTAATTCTGAAAGTTCAAGTATTTCTTTCTCTGGTAAAATGTAAACATGTCCTCTCCATTTCAGAGTAAGACAGGTTATCTTAAATCCTGTTTCAGACTTTTCCATGTTTTTTTTCTTTTTTTCCAGATTATAAAATATAGCTGAAAAGAGCTGTTTGCTGAAATCTCAATGCTCACATTTGTAGCTGATGTTTTCTAAACCTTACATGCTTCTTCTTGGTCTTTGGTCCATGTCAGCTAAATTCTTTGGATTGCTATTTTGGGTATAAATCATCCTTAGATTTACAAAAGAAGATATATTGAGAAGGGGATTATGCAGGATAAAGATAAAAAAATCTTTACAAACACTCTGTAACAGGCAGAGAGTATGGCCGGAGACAGGATTTAAGTGTTGAATTCTTAATCTTGTACGAGGCACAAAGCATCTGACCATCAGCTAGAGGAAAATACGGTCAGCTTCTTAGCTACAGGAAAGGAGTTGGGAAGTCAGTGAGCCTTTGAGGCTAAAGCTGTTGTGAGGATTGGGACTTTGGGGGAATTGCCCCATTTCAGCCTGTGGTGGGAGATGAGGCTCACACTCAGCAGTGCAGGTAGCATCCAATTTATGCCTGGGAGGGGGCAGTGTTCAGCCGTGGCAGGGGCTTTTCCCGTTTTTCTCTGTGCTTACAGCTCTGGCCTGAGACGGGCACTGGCCCAGCCACAGGAAGTTTGCAAGAAACTTGTTTTTCTTCACATTTCCAATATAAGATAATGCTGCTGAGAGCAGCTGCACAAACCAGTGAGTCACATCAAGAGATGCCCCTGTCTTTCCCATCAAGCAGAGCAATCTTTAGCTGAGTTGGGTGATCATTCCTCCTTCAGTGGGTGAGTTGTGTCCTTATGGGTGAGGTGAAGCACTGCAGATGCTCTCGAGACCAAGATCTTGAAAGTTGTAGAAAGAAATAAGAGCTGTAAGACCCCATGTGATCATCTTGGGTTTTTTTCCCCTGCTTTTCCTCTGGTCTTACTGCTCATTTTCTGTGTTAAAATTGCATGTGAAGGCTTGAAGAGCTGGATTGAGTGGATGCATCTAGATTGGCTGACTAAAGACAAGATTTCCTGTCCATGCTAGAAGTGAGTCTGTAAATGTAGTCCCAGACAAGCCCAGACTCTGGCTTCTACAGTGCACTGCCACCACCTATCCTAAGCCTACCCTGGGGTTTTGTGAAGTTATCTTCTTGCACTGAGCTCATCCAGTCTGCAGATAATCTGCTTGCAAGAGAGCCATATGTATGGGACATGGGCAGATTATGGAAGTGATGACCTGACCATTCATACAGCTGTCAAAAGCAGCATGGACAGAGTCATTGCATGATGTATTTTGAGAGACTGAGATGAGAGGAATCCAGTGCTAACACAGCAGCTTTGCAAAGACACTGCTAGATCGTAAGAGTATTGAAAAGTTCTCAAGTATTCGGGCTTCCAAATAAAGAGGGGATTTAAAGCCTGTTAATTGTGAGCAGAAATTATCTTTATCTGAAGGATTATGTTAAAGCAAAGCAGGAAAGAGGTGTCTGTGGTGGTGTTGCTTGGAACTGGCAGTGGAAGCTTCAGTCCTGTTTTTGGCTTCCACAGTATTGTGTGGACTACTTGTGAGAAAGGAACAGCCTTTCTGTTTCTCTGCCCTATCCATCACAGAGCACTCTATGACCTCCTGTGGCTCAAAAAGCACTATTTAAAATCCATAAATTGGCAGGTGCTGTTTATAATATGATGGTATCTAAAAGGCTGAACACCACAATTTGTTTTCATAGACAATGTTGGATAGCTTCACTCATGGTGCCTAGCATAGAGGTCAACAAATGTGAAATGAGGATATACTGCAGAATCCATTGCACTAGATTTGCCTTGTGCTGCCTGTTTGCAAATCCATTCAGACAGATAATAAATCAACTAGATGGTCTACTAGAATGTCTGAGGCAAATCTCTTTAATTATTGCCTGTGGGTCATTAACCTCAGCAAGAGTGACTGCCCAAGCATGGGTAAATTGTGAGCAGCCACAATGTGGAGGGTGGCAGCTGAGAAAGAGTTTCTGTTCTGCTTGTGTAGGAGAAAGAACAGTACCCTCATAGTGATGTGTTGAGGGTGAGCCTAGGGAAAGCATCACCACCTTTGCTTCAAATTAGTAAATGAATTGCATTCAACACTTGCTCATCACTCTAGTAGAAGCACATAACATAGCAGCATGTAGCTCCTGTAAGGAAGTAGAGGGGTAGTTTGGGTACTATGAGCAAGTAAATAACAGTGCTGATAGGCTGTAGCACACCATATGGGCTAAAAATCACTGCTAGGCTGCATGGTGCATTGCACTTCAGGAATTTCCTGTGTCTAGATCAGAGCAAGCTGTTAAATAGCCACAGATGCTGTACTCCTTTTCCTGACTTGCTGGTGAGTTGCCACACTGGGTCGGGAAGGCATGACTACAGCTAGCAGGTAACAGATAGATCCTGCTGCTCTGGCCTTTCATTGCACTGGGATTTCCTGCAAGCCAAAAGCATCTGAGCTGAAGACCAGCTTGGGGCATGCAGTGAAGCTCTTGTAACACACCTCCCTTTCAGGCAGAGCACCAAACTCTTAAAGAAAGAGAGATCCTTCTCTTGGCAGTAGGACATGATTTTTTTCCTGCATTTGGTGCTGTTGTGAGGGTATGTGAAAGTCTGCTCCCATATACCTTTTCACTTGCACAAAAGCAACAGGAAATGGGTTCTGAAATAACAAAGAATTAATGCTAATAGTGAAGTGTATTTTGCATGTCATTAGAGCTCACTGATATAATCAAACTGGTTTTATTCCATGGATGTTGGCTTTGCTCTATAATAGGATGAATACATCTCCTGTTAATAAAGTACGCAAAAAGTACTGCTGTGGTTAAGCATGCACTTCTTGCCAGAGCCCAAGGCAATGAATGTAGATTGGTAATTGCAGCTTTTGGAGAGGTAAAGTTTTGAAGACTACATAGTATGCAAGCTACAGTTAAATAGCATAACTTGGTGGGGCTGGAGAGAGAGTTCAATTCTAATCAAAATCAGGCCACACGTTACTAGGATCTACCAGATTCTGCTCCCATTTACACTCTTGGAAACCACAGAGTTAACATCAAGATTTACTCTGGGGATATGGTCCTTTTGGTTTGTCCTTTTTTTTCAAATAAATGTGGATAATGTGACTTAAGATGAATATATGTAAGAACCAGTGATAGACTGTGATCTCTTCTTTTTGGACAGAGGAAGACGTAATTCTGTAGTAGAAAAAGACAGCTAGCATCTGCACTGGCCAGCCAGATGAGCCAAAAATCTCTGCTTAAAACAGCTTTTAGGGGTGAATAGTTAGAAGTCAAGTCCTGTGAGGATAGCAACCCACATATATTCATGAGAAAGACACAACTCTCATTCCTGATTCTGGCCAAAAGGAAGGCCTCTTCAGGCACACTGAAAGAGACCAGTGTTGCTATACCTAGGTGTTTAATGGGAGCCTTTTTTGCCATTGTAAACTTCACATGAACCATTAAGGTAACAAGAACCTACAATAAGGGAAATGTGCTGTGTCTTGGGTCTCTGCAGGGGGTGAGAAAGAAAACAGCATGTGCTTCTGTGCAACAGAAAAATCTTTATTGGAATGATATCCAAGGGATCCAGACTTCTGTGTCTGTCCTCCCCCAGACCTACAGTGCACACTGACAGGACACAACAAGGAACAGCTCTGGCTCAGCAAGCCGAGGCAGGCAGCTCTGAGTCCTTCACCCAATTACACCCAATCTGCCTTCCTGTCCCAACAGCGTGTGTTAGGTCATCACAGACCTACTCGTAGGAAGTGATAGGAAATGGAGACATCACTGTGAGCAATGTCTGCAGATGTGGGCAGAGGCCCAAACTCAGAGGAACTGAGTTAGTGCTTGGTGCCTCAGGGGACCTGGTGAGAAGGGGAAGAGTGTATAGTGGCAGCAGACTGAATGGCACACACAGGACAGTAAGGAAAGTTGGTGAGCATCTTCCAAGTAGAAGATCACAGTGGGATAAACCTGCAAAGAAGGAACAGTTGAGAGTGGTAGTGGGTTACCAGCTCTTGTCACAGTCCCTGTTAGAGTTGGCTGTTGTATAGTTGTGGAGGATGGCATTCAACTTAGCAGCACGATGACAGAACAGAACAAACTCTTAACACATTAATGCCCAGTAAGGCATTTGGGGAAGGGCTCATGTTCATCCTCCAGTCCTGGCAAGCCTTCAGATGCAGTATTTCCAAAAGCAGGCTGGGAAGGGATACAAGAGAAGGATGTTAGTATCCAAGGAAGTTTTCCAGCTTCCTATTCTAGCCCCATGTCTTGAGAGAGTTGGGGTGTGAAGCTAGCATTGTGGTTTCTGGGCACATCTCAATAACCATCTTTGACTTCATATAAAACTTCCAGAAGTTGTTTCTTTTAGCTGCTTATAGTGTAAATAAGGGGTGTAAAAGTTGCTTCCATGTCCAGGCACTCAGCTGGTAACTGGCCTCCAAACAACACTGATGTCTGTGGGAGCTTCTAGGCAAACTAG